GCGAGGGCTCCCTCTGCTGGCTTGGCGTTACAATATATATATATATATATATTAGTGATTAGAGCTGTCAAATTGATTGATCACGAATATTATATTTATATATATATATATATATATATGTATATATATATATATATAGCTGAAATTAAATAAAGTTTTTTAGTATTTTATTTCAGTTGTCTTTTTTTTTTAATGGTTTTACTTCTAGTGAACAATAATAACCCTGTGTCATGTTCCTCTCTTTGTAGTTTGTGTGTGTGGAGAGTCTTGTGACGGCAGTAGTGGACATGTATCCCAAAACCTTCCGTGTGGGTTATCGGCGAGAGCTTCTCATCCTGGGAATGTCTGTGACCTCCTTCCTCCTGGGATTAATAATGTTGACAGAGGTAAAGGCATATTGTTGTGTACAAACCATGTTCTTTCCAGTGGCATTAGTATCGCCCTTAAATTTATGTTTTTTCCAGGTGGTAAAATCCAGGTGTCTTATTCATCAAGGACAAGCAGATTTGCTGTTTACATGATGATGTTGGTTTGATGCTTGGATTAATTTAGTTAATGGTTAACCTGGAACCCATGCCTCTCAATGCTGCTAAACAGTTTTTAATATTTAAAAAAGCACGATTTGTGGTGGATTTTCCCTGTAATGATGGTGTATAGCTGCAGTGCCTTGGCATAGTGCTGTCAGCACCTGGCACATTACTGTGGTTTCCTGTTTTGCATTTATGGCTGGAGTGAGGGTAAAAATAGGCCTGCATTCAGGCTGAGACAGGAGGAAGCTCTCCGCCAGTAATGTGCAGTAAGGTGAATGCTTTCGCTCTGTGTTTCATGAATAAAGCCATCCGACTGTGGAATGAAGCCTCTCCAGTCAGACATTCTCTGTTACTAGGATGAGAGGAAGATAAGGATGCTCTTAAAGCTTTGCCATTTACCATATGCCAGTAGTGCTCTCCTAGATCCATAAAATGCACTGAGCATAGTGAGCATCCCAGGTACCGTGGTTATCTGATATTGTCAGTGCATCACGCCACAGCTACAGCAGTCTGTTGTCTTGCGTGTTTGTCCTGTATTTCTCTGACTGTGCGTCACTCTGCTCTGTTAGGGTGGCATGTACGTATTCCAGCTCTTTGACTCGTATGCAGCCAGTGGTATGTGTCTGTTGTTTGTGGCCATTTTTGAGTCCATCTGCATTGGCTGGATCTATGGTAAGAGATCGCTTTGTTTTGGTGTGTAACAGTGTTCATCACATCACAAATTATTTCTTACTAAGCATCTATAGTCTAGACATCCTCAGCTGAGTACTCTCACTCCAGTGCAGTTTTTACCCTTCAACTGCCAAATCTTATGGAAGTATTATGTGTCGAGATTTAAATACAGTAAGAGCATATCTTTATATATAATCTCCCAAAGAAGATAGCCTGTGATAATAAGTCCATGATGCCAGCAGATGCTTTTCTGTCTGATGATGCATGTCAGCGGTGAGGCTGTTCACAGGATCATCACATTTCTGTAACCATAATGCCACCTGCTGGCAAATGTCAGACAGTGCATGTAATGGATCATTGAAATGTGTTTGCAGCATAAATACAGTAAATTGCAGTGTCCTTCAAAGACAAGCTTTATTCTTGTAGTATATAAATACATGAAATGTGTTTTTGCTGAGTGACATTTTAAGTGAAAAGTTGTAATCTTTGATCTTTATCCTCAGGTAGCAACAGGTTTTATTTGAACATTGAGGACATGATTGGATACAAGCCCATCTTCTTCATCAAATGGTGTTGGAAGTACTTCACACCAGGCATCTGTGCTGTGAGTTGAATTGGATGTACAGAGAGTCAAGATACTTACAGGCTGTGAGTGATACATGTTAATTATTGGTCGTATGATTGTCTTTTCAGGGTATCTTTCTGTTCTTCTTGATCAAGTACAAGCCGCTGAAGTATAATAATGTGTACACATATCCAGACTGGGGTTATGGCATTGGCTGGATGATGGCCATGTCCTCTATGGTTTGCATCCCTCTGGGAATATTATTTCAGATCTGGAAAACAGAAGGAACTTTCCGTGAGGTAAGCCTTTTTTGGGGGGGGGTAGCCTGGACATTGTGTGTGTGCTATATAATATGGGTTGTCCATTTTCCACAGCTTGGTCAAAGTCTGAGACCACTAGTGAAAATTAGGTAACATTTTAGATTAGGGAACACATATGTGACCCTGCCTGTGAAAAAAGTATTTTTTTTGTGATTTACTGTTTTCTACATAAAATCATCCTTTATAAAGATGTAGAACATTCTGTGAAAATATAACCTTTATATCTATAATATTGACTGAGTAAGGCCATGTCAAAGATTGAAATCATAGTAAAATTAATGGTTGAAATCAAACTTTGATGCTTGTTATCTCATAATTAGATTTTGAGACTTTAGCCTGGATTTTACAGACAGGGTCACATATTCACTATTAACTAAGGGTTTTCCCTCAATAAACTCCTAATTTGCTGCTTATTGATAGTAAGTAAGGTAGTTGTTGTAGTGGTTATGGTTTGGTATGTTTTTTTTTTTTCCTAATGTCTTTTCATTGAAATTATAGTATCAGCATAACAATTTGAGTGAACAGTTGAACTGAAAAACGAACATGAATTGGATAATGTCTCTGTATTTGGTCTGTCTTTTGCTTTAATGTCTCCAGAGCGACATGAGCAAAACCTGATGACCGTGATTTGAGATGCTCTAAAGAGCATCTTGAGCTGTCTGGACACTCTTACATTTGATTAGCCACCTAGAAATAGAGCATTTGCTTCATTTTACATAATGTTTCTTTAATTTTCCCAAAAAATTATTATTATTAGCTTCCAATCAAGCTATACTGTCAGTTATGAGTAGGGCTGCACGATAAATCGAAATGGAATCGAGATCGCGATTCGACAGAAGCTGCGATTGTCATGCGTATCTTTCAGTGAAGCACGGTTCTGTGATCATCAGTAAATCTCCATCCAAAGGCCAGAGGGTGCTCTCGCGCTGAAACTCCAAATACGCCTCGCAGAAGAAACCCAGAAAATG